GAATTTCTGGAGGAAGATCTTTCAAGCTTTTAATTTCTATCTCTGAAACTAAACATCTTATGAACTGTAGATATAAAATAGTTTCTTCTTATCATTCGTTCTTAGAGTTTCCAGCAAAAGTCGTTCCGCAAAAATCCGTGATAAAGAGATAATCAATTCCGCGAAAGAAACATCTCGCGTGTACCTTGACGTGAGGGCGTCGCTCCACTCGGTTTCGACGGCAACTCGTGGTTCACCGTAGACATCGTTCTCGGAACGAGGCGACGTTACCACAGGCTGGCTGCCACGGTACCAAGCTACCGTGCCCAAATCGTGAGGTCCTTGGGACATTTGACACGTCAGCGTCAGTAGACTTCCCGTTTTAACGTAGATGTCCGACGGGCCGCTTATCCTGGCTCTTGCCTCTGAAACAATTCGAATATTTTCCAATTACACAAGCGGTAGCTTCACAGCCTTTTCATTCAGCAATTATTGCAAAAGAGGATCGTAAATTTCCGTTTCGAAATAACAAATCCAATATCAGCCAAAATAAAACGCTTCGAATTTGCCTGCCAGTGAATGGGTTAAATTATTACCAAAAAATGTACGAATCAACGGTTGAATAAATAATTGAATATCCGAGATTCGCCGAAGCACGCGCTTTTCAAGCACCCGTTAAGAGTCGTGTAATAAATCACCAAAAATGTCGCATCGAAAGGGAGTTTTCAGGTTAGTTTTCCCCCATCAAAGCTACCTTTCTTTTGCTTCCTTTGATTTTTGTTCTTTGAAAAGGTTTCATCAATTTTATCGTGGCCGGTAAAGGTTTCCATCAGAGTACAGTTCAATGACTTTGATCGAACAGAAGGAGAAAAAAAAAATGTGTTTAATCATGGCTGAAGAATGACGGACATATCGTGTGATTCGCGCTATTTCGTTACAGGGGATGTATACAAGGGCGAGCGCCAATCGATTTTCACTTTAAACCTGTCGCGCTGATCTTTCAATTTTTCTCGTTTAATTCCTGACACGTATAAGTTGATAATTATTTAAAAAAAAAAAAAAAAAAAAACTCGTATACTCCTTTATCGAGCATCTACCCCGTGGCGAAATAAAAATCGAACCTTGTTTGTACTATTGGGTTGTACGGAAAGTTCGTGGCAATTTTGAAGAAACATTCGGAGACAGGTTTGAACTTTTATATATTTGGTTGTCCGAAAAGTTTCGTGTACGATTCGTTTCGCTCCATTACTGTTACAACATCGACATCTAAGAAATTAGATTGTCTATTTGTAGAAACACTAGCGCACAAAATGCGTGGGAAATTACGAAAGAAACTTTTGGGACAATCTGATATATTTATTGAATTATACATGTACCATTTCCTTCCACAACTTTTCCACCTTTCAAAGGGACGTCCACGTGTTGTTTGTTTTCAACTACTTCGATATATACAGACCTGTACCGCCTATTAAAAATCGCCATGGACTTTCCAGACAACCCAATATGGTCGAATATTCTTTGGAATTTATAATAGAAATTCGTTGAAAATTGTTCGTCGCTTCCGGAACACGCACACGCGGGCACGCACGTTGTCCGACATCTACTTTGAAGCGAGATCGGCTATTTTTCAAAGCTTCCGAGCGTTTTCCAAATTGAAACGGTTCCAAGTGAAAATCGAATAATTCGGAACGGGCACCATACACGATTTTATTTTACACAATTTCTCTTTCGTCGGGCGCTAATTAATGTTTTCACGAGAATTTATCATAGCCGGCATTGTTGTGCACGTTTCATACAAGATTTAGCGGAGCCAGCGGCAGCGAATGAATGCAGCCAGCGGGTCTAGGTGCGAGAAAGGCTTCTGCATGTACAGGAGTTTGCAAAGCTTCGCTGCCGCTGGCTCTGGCACTGCTCGGAATTGCGAGTGTGAGCGGAACGAAAGTGTTTGAAGAGGCCTCCGATGCCGACGCAACGGTTGATAGTTGATAGTTGATAGCTGCTGATAGTTGATAGTTGATAGCAGCTGATAGTTGATAGTTGATAGCTGCTGATAGTTGATAGTTGATAGC